AGCTGATGATATTACTGGCCAAAAAAATGCCATATTAAAATAAATGGCTTCTCGATGCACTTATTTCTGATAAAATTAGAAATTTTTTCATTTTACAAATGAAGTAAATGAAATTTATAGAACCAGAAAAAAATGTTTTCTGGTCACAATTCATATATGCCAAGAATAATGATGATCATTAATGACGACGACATCGACAGAAGCATCAAGAAGCAAAAGAAAAAATGATTAAATCTTTTTAAGCGCCCCTCATTCACATATATATTCAAACATCATCCAATTTCTCTTTCTTTACGAGTTTGGTTGTAAAATTTTTTGTTGTTGTTGTTTTTCTTCACTTCTAATCTATCTTTAGGACGTTTTTGTTGTTGTTAGGATCATCATCAACTGAGAGAAACATCCATCTTTCAACACCCATCATCACCATGATAAACACACATTGATTTATATAGCAACCAAACAACAAAAACAAAAATGCAAAGAAAAATATTCATTTCTGAAAAGGATTTACATTAAAAATTTTTCTCTTGCTGGGATGTTTAGTGTGTGTGTGTTTGTGAATAAGATTTGATTAAGACAAACATAACATAAATCAATAAATGTGTTTGTATTCTGTGTGTTTAACAACCAAATAAACTTTTTAGAATAGTGCAAAAACCAACAAAAAAAACCAATCTAATTACAAGAATCTTTTACTGATGATGATTACTATATTGATTGTTTTTTTTGTCAACCCGATTTTTCATTTTCTTTTTTTTACCAGTTTTTGTAAATAAAGAATTTTTTTAATGTGATTTTTCTTTTGCTTCGGAAAAAAAACCAGAACACACAAGCCACAAATTATTATTATTATTATTATTATTATCCGGAAAGAAGAAAAAAAACAGAACAGAGATTTACTACTGAAAAATTCTGTCATCAAAGTCTTTTTTTTGGCAATTTCTTATTTCGAATGTTTACATTTGAAATTGATGCGGCTAAAATTAAGTTTGGTTACTGGATTTGTTGTACGACATACACACAAACAACGACAACGACATTCAACAGCAGGCATGCAATCAAATTTGAAATTTTTTTTCTTTTCACAATTTTAAAATTCTTTAATGTTTATATTGGTGGTGGTTGTTTTTGGAAAATTTTTCTTAATAAACAAAATTCATTCATTCATTCATACGCCATGTAGACAAACACCAAGGGAGAATGAGCATCTTGAATTTATCAAATCAAAAGGCAACAAATTGACTTTCACTCTCAAATCTCAAAACGACATGTTGGATGTTTGTGCGTAATTGGACGACGATAAACAAGAATTTTTTTTTTGTCATTTTCATCCATTTTCGAATTCGCAGATTTACTAAAATCAATTCATAAATTGATTCTGATGAAATTCTTTTTTTCTGGTATTTTTGTCATTATTTTTTTGTCAAAAAAAAAAATCAAGAATTACGAAAAAAATGATGCCAGAAGAGAGACAAACGCCAGAAAAAAAATTAGACATAAAACAGGACCGAATTTTCTTTTGGACATATCATTGCCTGCCATCATCATTTTCAATCACATACAAAGAGAGAGAAGTAGAGATTTTCCTCAGCGAGTATGTAATTTTGGCACACGCCGCATCAATTTGTTCGTGTGTCAGTCTGTTTTGCAGCCAATGTTTGGCTGGCTGATGTGTGTGTGTGTGTGTGGACAATTATATATATAGTAGACATTTTTTAGCACGCGCCTTTTTTTTTCTCCCCGACTTTCAAAACATCATCATGTTTGTCTCTATCTCTATTTGCTGAATTTTTCGTTTCTTGATTTTGATATGATGTGATTGTATAGAGGACTGACTTGCTATACACTGAGTGTGTCTGTTTTATCTATCTCTTCTTGTTTCACATGTCGCATCTAAAACCAAAAGCCAAAAGCCAAGACAAAAAAAAGTCAAGGAATCAATTTCAATTCAAGTAGGGTAAAAGCAAAGTAAAGATTCTTTCTTTTTGTTTCATTATAATTATGAATTATTAGTTTTTTTTTGTTCGTTCGTTCGTTTGGTTTCTACGCTTTTCATTTTTTTTCTCTATAACTTTAATAATTTATAATTTTTTTCTTCTCTCGCTTTTGATTTGTCTAATGGTTCGAGACGAACGATAAATCGATTCTGATGATGTTGATGTTGATGTTTGAGTAATTTATAACTTGGATATTTTAGAAAAAAAAAGAAAGAAGAAAGATTTATAAAATGAAGAATTTGATGATAACCAACGAAAAAAGAAACGATGATGATGACAAGAACATCCGACGATTATTTCCATACACACACTGTGTGTTTTCTTGTTTTTGTTTTTCAATTATAAAGAATTTCTTTTACTTTTTTTTGAAAACTCTGAATATTATTTGAGTTTATCATCAGTTTGTTTGTCTATGTATTTTTCCGAATGAATGTCAAGTTAAACAAATTGATTGCAGACATATTAACTAAACATACAGTGGCTTTTGATCTATATAAATTACTATATGTACAAGTGATTGAGAATAAAAAAAAATGACATGAAGATAAATGTCACCACATTTGTCATTGAAGCAACATCACCAGTGTATACACTTGACAATTGTAAATTGGGCAGTGATATTGGTGGTGGTTGTGGATGTGAAAATGAAATTTTTTTTCAATATCTAGAAAAAAGAAATTAGCCCAGAAGCCAGGTTTTTTTTCATTTCATTTGTTGGCAATTTTATCAATCATCAACAGGAGGGAAACACTATTTATACACATTCACATTCTATATTATTCATTTCTGTTTTTGGGTTGACATAGTCGACATTCATTAATTTAAAAAATTTGGAAAGAAAAGATGAATATTATTATTATTGGTATTTTTTTTGTGATTACAGTATCAATCAATCAATAAATAACGATAATGATGCCTTTGGTAAAAAATGTGGCCATTTTTTGCTCTGCTAACATCAACATCATCATTCAGCTGTCATTTTTATCCAGTTGTCAATAATGTATATGCATATAAGTGTCCTCTGAGGAGATCCTGACATCATCATCATCATGATCAATCGGATTCGGGAAAAAAATTGACTATGTTTTGAATATATTTTATACCTTTGTCGATACAGAAATAGTAATTTTGATATTCGAATGAACGTGACCGACAAAAAAAACAAGATCAATAATAAATATTAGCATCAGCATCAGAATGAACTGGGCAAACATGTAAATTTTTCAACATCGCCCATTACATAACTGTTTATATTCAATAATACCAAACAAGCAAGCAAGTAGAAAAAAAATTATTATTAAATTAATTTGTGATTAATTGACAGTGGAGAGTATACGGAGGAAAAAAAAGTAAAATAAATTGCTGTGTAATATGGCTGTGTTCGAGCACGTGTCCAAGCAAACAAAAAACATATAAACGTGCATTTATGGAAAGAGATTCTGGTTTATATAATATCGGCTGATATCAATGTGTTTCTATATGTGGGGAAATGAATGAATGAATGTGAACAGACACACAAGGCAAAAAAACATCAAATAGCACATTTGAATGACAAATTGGATACCATTTATATAACGAGGCAAACAAAAGAAACAAAGTAGCACTTTTTTATTCAATTCTGCATCGAATGATAAGATTAGCCATGTATTTGGGCCCAAAGTCAATTCTGGATTCACATTTTTATTCTTATTTTCTGTTGACTTATTATGATTACGATGATGATGATGATGATGATGATGATTGTCGTATCGTGAATATAGAAAAAAATGTAATTGTAGCAAAGTGTGTGTGTGTGTGTGTGTAACAGTAAAGTAAAGTGATTATCCCAAGTGGACAATTTAGGTTGTCATCCTTCTTTCGTTTTTTTTTCATTTTTTTTCGATATTGAAAATTGTAAGTGTGCCTGCCTGCCATCATAATCATCATTTTTTACTGATTCAATTTTTTTGTCGAGAAAAAAAAAGATAACCAAAACCGTGAATGATAGGGAAAAAAAATTGAAATTTGTCAGTGTTACGAGAGAAAATAGGATTTTATTCTTTATTTCACTTTTGCTCGAAAACAGCCAATAATTTGTTCGATTTTTTGGTCGAGAATCATATTTTTTTTCCATTCGAGATAAAAAAGAATCGAAAGGGGCATACAAAAAATGATGAAACCAGATGATACATAGAGGTAGAATGGCAGCAGCAGCAGTATGGAGAAAAAAAAAGAATATCTGGCATTGTCCGATTAACATAAAAGGCATATTAATCACACCAACCAACCAACAACAACAACACACCAACCAGAATCCTGAATGGAAATTTTTCATTTTTTTAAACAAAAAATTCACCCCATCTACTTTTGTTTTTTTCTATTCTCTCTTTCCACTGTATCTGTGTATTTTGATCAGAATTTGCTTTCAAAAAATTTCAATCAATATTGAACAAAAAAATATCATCCAATAATCTAACTGGCCATTTGCCATTATCTCATATCATCTTTATTTACATTTACACACATAGGAATTTGAAACGATATTTTGTTTTGTTTGTTTGTTTTTTTTTCGTATTTGATAAACACATTCAATTCTTGTTTGATTTATTGAACAATCATGTATTATATAAATATATTTTTTTCGATCACATTTCACTATTCATAGCCATATATAAAGCAGCACTATTGAAATGATCAATATGGATACAATTGGATACGGATATGATGATGATGATGATGGCGCCCGATGATGATGATTGCATCACGAAATATAAATCAACAAAGATAAGAAAGAAAAAAGGCTCGAATATATTTTAATATTCACCCTGTGTGTGTGTGTGTGTGTGATAAACATCTCTGAACATTATTTTGTTTTTTATAAGAATTTTCTGTTTGTTTGTGTGAAAAATTGATTGTAGTTTGAATCATTGAAATGATGATGATGGTCATCATCATCATCATCATCATCATCATAAAAGATAAGACATTAAGAATGAACAACAAAAGGAAGAAGAAGAAACTTACCATGTGCAATCCAACCATGATTACAATGTGCACAATGACGCATCAATGGTTTACCCGGTTGAAAACATTCACAAAGACAATTTGGTGTTGAACAACGTAGCACCTATAGCAAAAAAAAAGGAAAAGAATAAAAAATTTATTTGAATAAATTAAAGAAACAAAAAAACCATATAACATTATCATTATTATCATCTGATTAAATTACATTCAACAACCAAACAAAAAAAAAGTGTTAATGGCAAACATTGTAAATAACAACAACAACAACAACAAAAATCTAATCAAATAATAAAAAAAAAGGATTGTGGTCATCATTATTACTCTGATGATGATATTATTGTCGATGATGTTTAATCATCAATAATTTAAGTATACCATCATCCAATAATGATAATTTTTTCTTTTCAAAATCCAGAAACATCAAAACACTGAATTCAAGATAAGATCAAATGATATGTGATATGAAAATTGGGAAAAAAAAGAATGGAAGAAAGAAAGAAAATTTGATTTTCACAGGAAAAAAACCACTATGAATGACCACACTGAATGAATGAATGAATGATATCCATAATTGATGTGTGTTAGAGAGAGAAAAAAAACAATAATGATAATAATAATTTTGTCTTCCATTATGATCGATCCAAAACAAAATGAATAAAGATAGAAAGACAATGAACAAGTTTGTGTGTGTAGGATGAATGAATAAATGAATGAATGATATTTGAAATGTGAAAAACAACAGAATTTGATTCCCTTGAACATTACACACACACACACACACACAAAATATTGATGAGAATTGGTCATTGGAATTATTATTATTATTATTCGATGAAACTATACATCAGCATCATTTTTTTTTTCTTTTTGGTTTTTTGGTTGCAAACGTGCTGATGTGATCCTCATGATGATCATTTCCTCAACAAATTCCAAATTTTATTATATTTTTCCATTGTACTGTTACTGATCTTATTTTTTTTCAAGAATAATTCTATTAACTTACACAGTCAGTCCCTTTTGATTTTATCATTTGAAAATCTTTGTCGAACAAATAGCACAATTATAACCATCATAATGTTCAACAGAAACAATGATGTTTAACTATGTATGATGATGATAACCTTTTTACCAATCCATCCATTCATCCATTCATTACACAATAGTGGTATATGCACGATTACATCAACCATGTATGACATATATCATGTTTATTATTGTGTTTTGCTTTTAAAAAAATTAGCGGAAAAAAAGGGTTAACTAACTAATAAAAAATTATTCATTTATTCAATGTTCTATTGAAAAAAATATTCATATATTTCATTATAAATAGCCAATTGTACAAATGTGTCAGAGTCAGGTAAGTTAACACAACAAGGTAAAACGACAGGAAGAAAATGTCGGCAAAACATCAAATACCAAAGATTACATGAACATCAACAAATACAAGTGAAAAGATGATCATAAAAGACAAACATCAAGTGAAAAAAAAACCAAATTTGATGGACCATATAGAATACGCAGATATTGTCAGAGTAAAAAAATGAATGTATGACGCTACCGACGATAAATAAAAATGATGATAATGACGAGACAGAAATGATTTTCTCTGTTTGTTTGTCAATATGGTCTTTTAACCCCGTTGATACCATTGATCTTTAAAAACTTTTTCAGGAATAATTTTCATGAATGAAATCCTCTCTTGATCGTGATTGAGAAATTTTTTTTCTTTTTTTTTGAATTTCAATGAAAAAAGCCGACTTGAACATCATTACTATGTGTGTGTTTGTATACGATATGGTATACGGTATGTGTGTGATACTTGTTTGGGTGATGATGATGATGTTTGACCGACCACAAAATGGTACATTGGAGAGAGATAATCAAAAGTCATTAAAAATTTGTTATTTCTATGATTACGATGATGATGATGATGATGATGATGATGGCCACACCAACAACAACAAGCATCATCACTATAGTTGTTTATGACCCTATCACCACACAAAAACATTAATAGAAAATGTTAATTAAATTGCCACATTGAAAAATATTTAGATGTGTCACACATACATACACACATGGAACAGACAAAATAAATGTTCTTCCAAATAAGAATATACGAGATTTTGGTCATCCTATTATTATTATGAAACTACATAAACAATCTTAATTATAAGTGACCACCGAAAATGACCACAACCAGGATAATTGAAATATGAATCATCAATGAAAATGACAAACAAATCAAAAATCATTTTTTTTTTTGGATCAGAGAAAATATAAAAACATAATGATTATTATATTTTATCGTTACATTTTGTTGTTTTTGTTAAAATAAAACGAAAAGTTTTCTTTTTGATTTAATCAGTTCTGTTGTTGCTAAATTATTCATCTATCTTAGTTATCATCATCATCATCAGAAACTGGATTGTGTCATCATTATTAATGTCACCAACCATTCAGAAATTGAACAAAAAAACAACAACAAACATTTGGGTAACCCATTCTTCACTGATTCTCGATTGGTCAGTCAGTCAGTCATTCATTTAGTTATTTTTACTCTCGAAGGCATCATTTGGTCATTATTTGCTGTTGTTGTTGTTGTTGTTATTGACCATTTGTGTTTGTGTTTGTTGGAGAGCAAAGGCTAATTAATAAATGTCCAGTTTTTTTTCTTGGCTACTACTGTTGTTATTATTGTTCATTTGATGTTGATGCCACTAATTTCCCAAATGTATTGTTGTTGTTGTTCAATGATGGCCATTCAATGGTCAAATGGACAACTTTTGTTTTGTTTGAACGACGACGACGACGAACAGAGCGTTAATGTGTTAAATAAATTAAGATTCACTTGCATTTTGGTTTGGCTTTTTTGGGGATCTAGGCTGGAAATAAAAATATTCAGCAAAAATAAAAATCGTATGCAAGAGTTGTTCTTGTTGTTATCTAAACATCATTTGTTGTTCAAATTTTTTGTTTATTGTTGTCGATGTTGTTGATAATAATAATAATAATGACCAAAAGCCCGGCTGACGCTGATTCAGAATTTTCAACAACAACAAAAAAAATTCATTTACCCTGTTTTTCTTCTTTTTCTACTACCCGCTCTTTTCCGAATCCAGAATGAATGTTGTTGTTGATGAATCTAAAAACTGACCAACAACAACAACAACAACAAAATGAACAACGGACCATTAGTTTTTTTTTAATTTTGGCTACAATATTTGGATATTCAAAAAAGTTCGGTAGAAATTTTTTTGGCTAACTCTTTCTCAATGACAAAAACATAGTAGTGTCACACACACTCATATGGCCAGAAAGTTAGATTCTGTACAAAGTGAACAAAAATTATTAATTCAATGAATGTTAAACGGGTTAATGGAATCGATCGGTCATCATCATCATCATCATCATCACCATTGATCTTATCGATTGATTGTCGTTGTTGTTTGAATTATAAATACACAGAAAAAAAGAAATTCAACACTAGACATTGATTGAACGGTCACTTTAGTGGAAATGAAAATAGGAAAACAAAACAAAACAAAAAATCCTTTTTATCAATATTGGATTTTGGATATTGTGGAAAGTGGTGTGTGTGTGGTGCTTAGGGGATCTGGAAAGAATGTGTCAAGTGGGTTAATAATGAATGAATTTTTTGGGACAAAATTCAGTCATTCATTCATTGATGACATATATCTTAATTTAACTGAATCTCATCATCATCATCATTTAGAATACTTAACACAATGAATCCTAAGCAAGCAAAAAGCAAACCAACCACACTTTATATTTTCATTTGAGATTATTGATCAAATATTTATCCAGTGCTAAAAACATTCCGAACGAATGACATTAACGATTCAATGAAAAAATTTAAACAAATAAACAAACACTGGTGGCAGGCATGCTTTACCATCATCAATTAGTTAGATTGATATGGACTGGCCATCACCATCATCACCACCACCAACAAACAAGAGAAGTGACAAAAATATTTTTGCACATTTTTCTTTGATCAAAATTCAACTATTGAAGTGTGATTGAAGTGTATACACACACACAGTAAATGAATAGTGTTGATGATAATTATGACAAATTTCATTATCTTCATTGCTGCATTTTTCGGGTTCGAATTTGTGGTTTAAAAATAAGGAAATACTAGAAAAATCATCGAGTCATTTTAATTCCAAAAGGAAAATAATCCTACCGAGAATTTTCAATTTCATTGATTTTAATTAATCAGTGAGAGAATAATGATGATGTTTTTTCTCTTTCCGAACAAAAAAAGAAATAAAACAGAAGCTATAGAAACCTAATAATGAACAACAATAAAAAAAATTATTCAAAATGAACAGAAACAGAAAATAACATCAGAATAAAAGATTTGACAAGACAATCAAAGAATCAAGCAATAGCATCATTCAAAATAGAAATGAAAAACTTTGAATGTTTTTTTTCTTGCCATTCCATTCCTTCAGCATTCAGGTAATCAACAAAAATGTATGCACACAGGCAGGCAGGCAGGCAATAATAATAAGTCATTTTTTTATTATTGACAAAGAATGTGTGTTTTGAATTTTTCTTTTCCCTTCTCTCTTCTTGCAAAATATATTTTTAATATGCGAACACACTTAAGAACATCAAACAGGACAGATTGTAAGTGAACGAATAAAAAGAAAAATAAAGCTTAAAATTTGAAGTAAAAAGAAAAAAAAAATACACAGGTAAGAATAATGGACAATTTTGGTTAATAAAAAAATTTTCTTTGTTCACAAAATCGAAATACAACAACAACAACAACAAACTAAATGTCAAAAGTAAGCAAGCAATCAAACAAACAAACAAGAATTATCAAAAAATGCAATAAATGAACAACAGGATGGGACAATATGGCGACAGGTAAATCTACCAAAATACAATGGAAATTATTGTGTAGGTGGTTGGTTGTTTGGTTGGTTGGTTGAATTTGACAAAATTTGTTTAGAAGATAGAAATAAAAATGATGGATTAATAATTGGTTCGAGAAAATCCATAAAATATAAAATGCATTAGGTAAAAGATGTTTGGCGACATGTTGTGTGTGTGTGTGTGTGATTGGCGGCCATCGCCGCCGCATCCACACAATTGATGCGTTTCTTCCATATAATCAGGGGAAAGAAAGAATTTTCTTTTCTTTTGATTGTCATTCCATTATCATCATTGTTTGTCGATGATGCTTCTTTTCATTTGAAAAACTTTTTGTCATTTTCAGCGAAATAAAAAGCGTTTATTTTATTGTTTTTTTGTTTTGTCCAAAAACGTTATAACTATTGACATATCATTATAGAAACAAACAAACAAACAAAGTTGTATTTGATGTGTGTTTTTCCCCTTTCCTGAAGATGTTAATAATAATAATAATAATGTCTTTTTCGGTTGTTAAGATGCTTGTGTTTGATTATTAACCACACATAGCTGTCATATGATGATGATGATTTTGTTTGAAAAAAAAGATGCAAAATTCAAATGTTTTTTTGCATCTTTTTTTTCAATAATAAAAAATATATTGAAAAAAAAGATTACTTTGGACGAATGGCATTCATTTTGGATTCATTCATTTTTGAATGACATGTGACAATGAATGAATGATGAATGAATGAATCAAATGTCCACTCTTTCTCTCTCTCTCTATATGTCTTATATAATATCATCATCATATCAATTATGATTTAGATTTGACCATAATCATAAAATTATTATTATCTTCACTATAGTTCAATCAAACAAACAAAAAACAAACAATTATTTGACATCCACAAACACAATGTTGTCATCATTCATTCATTCATTCATTCATTCATTGATGCATCCTATGCAAATGAATCAATCTTTTTTTTATACGATTAATATATGATCATCATCATGATCAACTGGAAAAGAAAAAAATCCTGAATTAAAACGTGACGTTGACCATTCGTTTGTTTCGTTTTTCTTTTCTCTCATTCATTCGCCTGTCCAATCGATGTCTATTTTCAATCATTTGATGATGATGATGATCCTTAGCATCATCATTTTTTTTTTGATATGACAAGAATGTAAAGATAATGTTTGATGATGAGACAATGAATTTTATCTTTTTTTGATTGAAAAATGAAATTTTTTTTTCAAAAATCTTTTCTTTTCTTCTTATTTTCGCCTGATTGAAATCCATGTTTTAATTGACATTCAATGCACACACACACAAACACTGACACTGTGTGTGTGTGTGTGTGTGTCATGACAAGTGGAACAAACAAAAAATATCTCTCAGGTTGAATGATCCTAACCTGAACACATTTTTTGATTTATCTCATTACTTAAAAACTACAATTTGTCTTTTTTTTTCTTTCATACTTGACATGACCCTATTGACCATCATCATCATTTTCGACATTTTTCATTTTTTTTTTGACTTTAAAACTTTTTTTCAAAAGCAAAGAGAAAAATCCATTTTGAATTGGAAAATATTGAAGATTTTAATTAACCCCCCTCTCTCCCTCTTCTAACCTTTGTTACATTTTTTTCTGTTGTTGTTCATTATTAATACATCATTTTAAATGTTTCCAAAAGTTAGCAACAACAAAAAAAACCATTAAATGCAATTTGTTATTTGACTTTTTGATTGTCATGTCAAATGTGAAATGTCAATGAATTTTCAAATTCTTGGTGTGTGTGTGTGTGTGTTTATTTTAAGTGCTATTTCAACAAAGTAACTACCAATTGAATCATCATTATTGAATAAACAAAATCAAAAAGCCAAATCAGGTAATCCAAATGATGATAATAAGTTTTTAGAGTTCAATCAATCGATCGATCGATTGATGATGGTATACTAGTCAGCGGTGGCCATTTTTGTTAAAATAGACAGCAATAAGAGAAAAAAGAAAAAGGTAAACAACCATTTTGACATTGACAAATACATTTTGAATGTTGGTGGTTCGTTGACTGTGACCGACTGGTTCGGTCAATCGAAACAAAATGTTTAAAAATTGATCAATAATTTTCGTTGTTCAAGATGGTCACCAAACAAATTTTCCAAGAAAAAAATCGATTGAATTTGATGACAACCCAAATATTTGTACGAAATAAAAAAGATTTAAGAGATAGAAGGCGATCAAGTGTGACCTTAACCAAAAACACCAAACAACCAAAAAACACCAAAGTGATCGTCAAATATTGATGATGATGATGATAATCATAACAATAATTGATGGACAATCGAACCAACCACCACCCAGCAAAATATTTTTTTATACTTTTTTCTGGTGATAGTCAAATCATCTTGAATGTAAACATTATTTGACTTTTTGACTTAGAGAGAAAATTCTTTCTGGACATAACCAAAAAGTAATAATAATAATAAATTGATTACTCTATTTGTCTAAATTCTAATTACATTTGAAGTGAACAACAAAAAGCAAGCAAGCAAGCAACAAAAAAAAGTCGTTTGCGAAGACAATTCTTCTTCAAAAAGACAAGCAAAATGTAAAGAAACAGACAAAAATGACAATCACATTTAATTTTTTTGTTTTGTTCTGAACATTCTTATTGATCGTCATCATCTTTTGTTCTGATCTAATCACATGTAAACAATGAATGAATGAATGAATGAATATAACCAGAAGCAGCTTGTTGATGATGTTCAACAACTTGAACATCGTCGTAGTCGTCGTCGTCTTCGTTCGACCATGATGATGATGATAATCATCATCATCATCAACAACAAACAATGACAATTGAAGAGCTATTTGGTTGATTGGTTGATGGTGATGGTTGATCAACAAAGACAACAACAAGATCAAGGTTTTTTTCTTCTTCTTCTTCTTCTTCTTTTAGTAAATATTTGGTTGGCCATCACTGTATTAAAAATACAATTGATGATTGATCAGAAAACGGAATTAGAAATCCATCATCAATGAAGAACGGAAAAAAAAGTCAATGGACAATGGATTTCTATAGTGATCTTCAACAACAGAAGAAAAGAAAAACATTTTGTTTAAAATTTTTTTTATTGGGATTTTGTTTTAAAGAATCTCTTGTTTTGTTACAATTTAGTTTTTTTTCTAAATTTGTTAACATAATTTTTTTTTTAACAATCAAATACCCACCACCCTTGTTAACAAAAAAAAGCCTATTTATCATTTGTTTATCATTTTGGGTGATTTTGGTCTATTTAAACATCATCATCATCAGATAAATTGGTATTGACCATCTGTGTGTGTAAATACACTAGGTCCGGGAAAGAATTTTGTCGAGGGTGAAAATAGTGTGCATAAACATTTGGTGATCCTAAAATTCCCAAATCTTTTTGGATAGTTTGTTTATAATCAACATCAGTCAAATTTCGTTAATGAATGAACGAAATTAGATTGCCCGTTATATATTTGTATCAATCGATTGATCGATTTTTTTTGTTTTGTTTCTTCAAACATGTCAATGTCAATTTTGGCTAAAAAGATTCGATAATTTAAACACAAACACCAAGTTTATAATAATGATGATCATCATAATTAATTGCTACGACAAGCATGTGTGTTTATTTGTGATTTTGTGTTTGTGTATGTTTGTGTATGTTTGACACATGCATGTCAATCAAATCAAAATACTCGAAATTGACCATTTTTTTTCACTGCATTGGTCGGTTTTTTGTTTTCGGACACATTGTGGTCATATGTTGTTTACATTATATGGAACAAAATGGATATTTGGCTTTTATTATTGTAACACAAGCACTGGACCATAGAGGTCTATAGACAAAAATGACCCAAAAGTCGTTTTTTTTGTTCGGTTGAAAAGTGTTAAAATGACCATGGCAAAACAACAAATAAATCAAAAATCACTTACCAGATCCATTGGTGAACGCATCAATAATGGTTTATTATTATTATTATTGTTGTTCAATGATGAAAAATTTGATAAACGAAAAGGAAATGGAAATGTAGCAACCGAAGACGATGATGATGTATGATGACAATTTTGATTTGGAACAAATGGTAATAAATTTTGCATTAGATCACGTTGTAATTGTTGTTGTTGTTGTTGTTGATTATGTGAATGATGATGATTATGTTGTTGTTGTTGTTGTTGTTGAATAGCTGCTAATGCTAATGGCGCCAATTCAATTGATGATGGCATAGAATTTGTAAAATTTATTAATAAATTATCTAAAAATGATGATGATGATGATGATATTGGTACAAATGGTATTGGGTGTTGTTGTCCAATGTTATTCAAATATGAATCACGTTTCAATTGATGTTGAGATGATGATGATGATAATGATTCAGCCACTAAACTACGACAATGATCATTATTATTACAATCATTTTTAACTAACGATAATGTCGATGACAGAATTGTTTGATTATTAATGTTGTTAGTAATCGAAGAAGTGTTTGATGATGATGATGATGTAGGCGGAGGTATTCGATGATTATTATTATTATTATTCAAACTAGTTATAGTTGTTGAAAATGATGATGATGATGATGACGTTGTCTTAGTAGTTGAATTTAAAGATGTTTTCCTAGAGGATGACGCCTGATATTGATGATTAGATGCTGCCGCTGACGATGTTGATGATGATGATGATGGTATTGCAGCAATTGCCGCAGAAGCCGGAATAGAAACGATTCCTGATGATGATGATGATGGTGGTGGTGGCGGTGAAAGTAGTGGTATTGTTTGCTGTCCTGAAAGAATATTCACTGAATTATGATGCGGATTTTGATGTTGATGATGAGTCGATGGCATTAATGATGAAGATGTTGTTGTTGGTGAACAAAATTCTTGGTTTGTTACACCCAAACTATCCAAATAATGATGATGATGATTTTCTAAAATCATCGATAATGATGGTGATAATAGAAAATTGGTAGACATCGAATTTGTTATTTTTTTTTTTGGGTTTTCAATCAAATAGATTTCCGGTTTTTCATGATGTTTCCTAATCAATGAATAAAAATTGAATAAGAAAATCATATCAATCGACCAATAACAACAATAACAAAAAAAAGTGAAAATGATCTAAGGATAGAATGAATCTATGAATGATTCTGGATTCTTGACACATTCTGATCATGTTCATCATCATCACCATCATTTCAAATATTAATATTGTTGGTGTATGCGTGTGTGTGACTTTTTTTCGTCCAATATAAAAGACAAAGTTTTTTTTTGTTTTCTTGAGTATCTCTATCACCAACACTTATTTGTTGTGGAACAAAAAAAAAAATAGGAAAAAAGTCTTTTAACGTTTATAACGTTAGTATGTGCTTTACATCTTTTTTCATATCGTCATCAAGCATAGAAATGGATGATGATGATGATGATGATATGGCACAAATAAGACACAAAAATTTACTGGATTGTGGATAAAAAGGAGTGGCCAAGAAGGATGCAAACACACCTTTTTTTTTTGTTTCTTGGACACATATAACACTTGTGTGTGGTGTGTGACAAAATAATACTTTATATTTTTTTGGGTAAGTCACATTTCTTATTCGTCTTTGTACATTCAATTGTCGCCCGCTTTCAATAATAATTAAAGAATATAGTGAGAGAAAGAGAAACTCGCGCGCGCAGACATACACATAATATCATCGTTTTTTTTTTTGGCATCATCATTTTGAACGACTTTTGTCGCCACCCGCACTCTCTCCCACTGTTTATTTTTGGTTCAACAACAACAATACATGTCTTGTCGCCATTGCCATCATTGTTATCTTGGATCTGGAATCCGGAATTGGCTTTATATATAGAGATTCATATACGTCAAAAGAAAGAGAGAGAGAGCATACAACACACAAATACTATACAATCGACAAATGCCTTTTTCCGATTATTTTTTGTCATTCCATAACCAAAAAAAAAAAAAAAAAAAAAAAAAAAACCCCAAATTAATTTGGGGTTTTTTTTGGTTTTGTTTTAAAANTATTTTTTGTCATTCCATAACCAAAAAAAAAAAAAAAAAAAAAAAAAAAAAAAAAAAAAAAAAAAACTTCCAAGTTAATTGCGGTATCTTTTTTGGTTTCGGTTCCAAATAAAGCGAATGCGCAATATTTGAGTAGCGATGATGTTAGGTCATCGCTATCATCAAACTATATAGCTACGGAAGATAGCTTGATTTTGTTGGCCATTTTATTTTCTTGAATTACGTAAAGAAAATTGAAAAAATATGCCACCACATTCTATATGATGATTTTGATAGTGATAATGATGTCCACACTAGCATAAAGGACATTTTTTGGTTACCATAGAGACGACGTAGATATTCGTCGTCGTTGTCGTTATCGTTGAATGATTATTTCTTTTTATAATGAAAAAATTTTTTTTTTATATAGACAAAATACTGAATGAGTGTGCAGTGCATTTGGTTGGCAGATTTTTTGTTGTCAAATGTCGCCATAGCCAATCCCCTTTTCTTTTGTCGCCCGTTTTTTTCATTTTTTTTTGTTTGTGGTGACAACCCAATAAAACATTTGTATTGGAAAAAGAAAATGCCAACCCAGAAATAATAAAAACAACGACAACAACAACGGTTATAACCAAAAGAAAATGACAAAAAAAAGGGGCTTGACAAAAAAAATGAAAAGAAGAATATTATTGCTGGAATATTTGATGATGATGATGAGAAATTATCATTTTATTTTCGGGTTGGGCATAAACATTACAGTAAAAGTGAAAAATTGCATTGTGATTGGTTAATCTTAAGTGGACAAAAAAAAATTTCAGCTAATTAATTGCCCAATCATCAAAAAAAAAACATTGGAATCTGAATAATTTTTTCAGTTTGACAATACAATCGATATTATCATTTGATCAATGGATGTTTATGTTGTTTTCAATAGTGGACATATTGTTGTTGTTAGCCAGACACACACACTTGCACAAACACGTTGACTGAATTAATGAATTTCAATTGGGATTTTTTTTTTCGTTTCATTTCGTTTCGTTTTAAATTAAACAATGACCAGCAATCAATTTTAGATGAAATTTTCAGCATCATTATTATAAATGATAATATGCTGTATATGATTTTGTTGTTGTTGTTGTTGTTGTTGAGCAAGGTTAACAAATAAATCTCCGTTTCAACAACAACAACAACAACAAAATCAAGTTTTTTTTCTTCAGCAAAAGAAAAAATATTCACATCATCACTTTGGGGTTAAATGAATTTACAATTGATTAAAGTAAAAATTTTAATCAATTCAATTTTGCTTTGTCTTTTTCTATTCGTTGAAACAATCAAAAATTAAAGACATGCGCCCATCATCATCAGTTGATTAGTTGATGATGATGATAATGATTATTGTTATGAAAAAAAAGGATCATCATCACCAAGTGGACATTGACATGGAAATTTCAACGAAAAAAAAAAATGAAATAAACACCTAGACAGAAACACACACACACACGATGGAACATACACACAATGATCTTTATTAATCAAAAAGCAAAAGAAATTGCCCTTTAATTTTCATTTTTTTGATTTAGAATAAAATCCAGAAAACATAATCGTGACTTTCATTTCATTTTGTTGTTGTTTGTTTGATTGAACTCTCTTGAATACTTTTTTTTTTAAAAAAAAGTCTCTTACCTGAGAGCTAATCACACAGATGTGAAATATAATGTATTGATGGTGATAATGATGATAGTGGCGATTTGGTGGACATTTGTAATTTGTGTATGAATGAGAATTGTATGATGATGATGATGAAAAAAGTTATGTTTCATTTCATTTCATTTCATTTCATTTCCATCATCATCATCATCATCGAAAATAATAATAATGTTAATAACACATTACATTTAAAAAATATTTTTAGGCTGTTGTTGTTTTAAATTAAACAAAATCAATTGAACATTTATGATATGCGACGATGTGCCTCGTACAATCACTTATTCAATAAATGAAAATAGATGTCAGATGTAAAATGATCAAAAATTTTATATTTTTTTAAAAGAAGAAAAAAAATGATTATAATGATTGTGAATTATAATTATAATGTGGATTAATTATAATAATCATAAACCATCCATCCATCCATCCTTATTGATCATTAATTTTTTCTTTTAAGAAGAAGAAGAAGAAACAAGGAGGAGATCTTATGAATGTGTTGATCATACAAACATAATAATCATCATTGCAAAGAATATGTCCAATGACAATTTATTTTTTTTTCAGAAAATTTGCAATCATTTAAAAAAAACAAGCGTTTTGATGTTGTTTTCTTTACAAATTGATCATGGATATATCTAATACATTTGATCGAAGCAAAATATATTAGATTTCTTTGTTTTGTTTTGTTTTTTTCGCTGTTGGTTAGTTCATTAATATTAATATTTTTTTTCCCATTCATTCATTCATTTATAAAGGACACACACACACACAAAGATTAAAAATCGATGATAAACAGCGACTATCGATGAATGAATGAATGAATGAATGGATCATTATGAATGGAATGGAAAGCATGGCTATTTTCTAGCCATGTATTTTCATATTTATACAACAAAGGTATTTGTTATTGTTGAATGTTCAATCATCAATATCGATAGATCAATTGATAATGATGATAATTTTAATCGATTCAATTGTTTTAAACATTCATTTTTTCATTCATTCATTAAATAAATGGTAAAATTATTCATCAGGGTATTTTATTCGAAAACCAATAATGTTTGATCGAATCACAATAACACACCAATTTGAAAATTCACGATCATCAAAATATATTGGTTAAAATTTTTTCCATCGGAAACACATACACACACATTATTTTAACACATACACGGTACAATGAACTGAATGTTCATGTTTGGATGCATATCTAAGGATTAATAGTAATAATAAAAATGATGCTGCGAATCATCATCACCGAGTTAAAAATTGGGGCCGCATCACCCCACATTGAAATGGAAAGAAAAAATTTTGCAGTGTTAACACCAATTCACTTTCGACTAACTTGAACAACGAAAAAAAATAAATTTATTTTCTGCTAAATAACAAACTTTATGCTTCTGTTTTTCGGCAAATAAGTGTGTTTGCGTGTGTGGATAGCACGCCAGAGTATAAAAGACAAAAAAAAATTGGCCATCAAAAATTGAAAATGGAACGCCGAAACATTGTTGTTGTTGTTGTTGGATATTGTTTGTTTGCGTTGCACATAGAGAATCTATTTTTCCCTTTCACACACACATATACAAGAGAACGCAAGATCAGCATCATCATCAGCCACAATTCATATGTGTACAGACATTCCATTCCATATCACAAACATCACCATCATCATCATCATACTTAGAGACAAGCCACAACAATAACAATTTGCCTTACCAATGTAATGGATGTAAGAATAGTTTGTGTGTGTGTATTCAAAACGAAAACAAACACAATAAGCATCCATGGATATGTGGAAGTGGATCATCATCATCATATCATATGAAACATACTTGAAATCACAAGTCTTTTTTTTTGTTGTTGCTATTCTTATCATTTCAAGCACTATCATTCTTTGTTTCTGGATCAGATTCTTTCTCTCTCCTAAATGTCAATGTAATTGGTTTCAGAGTGTACAACCAGAAAAAAAGGGTTAAAATCTTTTTAAATAATTTATCCATTTTTGAAATTATTTATTTATCATCATCATCAGGTTAATCAACGATGTGTTAATTAATTAATTAATTAATTGATTAATTACTTTGTTAACAGCGACAACAACAACAAATCAAGCAAACAAACACCAACAAAAACAAACAGTGAAAATTTGTTTTAATTAAGTTCTTTGATTTAGAAAAACAATTCAATCATTGATGAGTAATTAGGGTAAACTTTTTTTTGGAACGGATTGTCGCATCGAAAATGAAATGAAAATGATTTCTTTTTTGGTTCGTTCACTTATATAGCAGAATTAGAAAAGAGAAAAAACTGATTAATCACACA